AAATTCACAGTGATCCTCCTGCCTTAGCCTCACGAGTGCTGGGATTACAGGCATATGCCACTATGCCCAGCTTGAAATCTTCTTTTCTGTCTTTACAAGGTGTGATTTAAATATGTGTGTGTGTGTGTGTGTGTGTGTGTGTGTGAATATACACATTTGGTGAATGCTACAGCTGAGTGTCATTCAGTGATAAGAAAAACTTGTAAAAACATTAGAGTGTGTTTTTATCCACCTTATTCACTGAATCTAGCACTGTTGAACTTCTACTTCCTCCCCAAAGTCAAAATGACCATGAAACTCAAACATTCTGAATCATTTCAGACCATTGAGGTCAACATTGAGGTAACCAGGACAACACAACCAAAGGCACTCACAAAAGAGGACTTCCAGAACTGCTTCAGAAAGTAGCAAGAAAGATAGGAAAGTGCATTTAATGCAAAGGAGAGCATTTTGAAGAAAGTGATGGTAATGTGTCATTTACTGTGATAATTTTTTTTCTTTTTATTGAGTTTATTGGTACATTCTAGGTATACAGTACAGTTATATTCATTATTGGGATCTTGTACCTTTACATGACTGGTCTTTGTTCTCATTTCTCCCCCTATCCCTGCCCTCCCTTCACCCCCTCCTCCCCTCCCCATTTACAAACACTTTATTTCCATTTTTCCATTTTCTCATATTTTTCTTTTCCCTTATTCCCTTTCCCCTACCCTTCCCACTTTCCCTACACCTTTAGCCCTTTTTTTCCTATTTCACATTGTTAATTATCTCATTGGGATCTTGTGTACTATTATAGGTTTTCACACCAGAGAAATTATTCAGTATTTACACGTGTGACTTATTTATTTCACTTAGGGGTATATCCTCAAAATGTATCCATTTTCCTATGAATGAATCTAATTTCTCATTCTTTGTGGCTGAGTAGTATTCCATTTTATAGAAAAACCACATCTTCTTTATCCAGTCTCCAACTGATGGGCAAATGGTCTGTTTCCAAGTTTTAGCTATTACAAACTGTGCTGCTATAAACATAGGTGTGCATATATCACTGTGGTATGATTCTTTAAATTCTTTTGGAAAGATACCCAGCAGAGGGATGGCTGGGTCAAATAGAGCCTCTAGTCCCAGTTCTTTGAGGTATCTCGCTACTGTTTTCCATAGTGGTTGTACCAGTCTGCACTCCCACCAACAATAGAGAAGGGTTCCTTTCTCCCCACAACCCCGGCAACATTTGTTATTGTGTGATTTCTTGATAGCAGCTGATAAGTTTTTAAAATGTAAGCATTCACTATAGTTTTCTGTCATACCACATATATATAATGCCTAGGGAAAATAACTAATAATCCTTGGAACAATATAAACTTACACGGCCAGAGATTTAGCTCAGTGGTCCCGCGCCTGCCTTGCAAGCACAAGGGCCCAAGTTCAATCCCCAGTATCAAAGATAAATAAAATAATATTAATAATATAAACTTACAGATATGAAAAGAAATGGAGACACATATGATCATGGATGAAAATATTAGAAAAAGGTTTATTTCTAGAAGTTAATATATATCTACTGAGTCAAAGTATAAAAAATTTTAGAAATTAACAAAATGAATAATATTCAACTGGGAGAAAAAAATCATAAGGAAGGAATAATAAGATGAGACTTAGTTTGCCAAATAGTACAGTATGTATTACAATATTTAAAATGAAATGGTACTGGATACAAGAATAGTCAAGTCAGTGGAAGAGAACAACAGAAACCTAAAAGTACCCCGTGTGTGTGTGTGTGTGTGTGTGTGTGCATGTGTAGAGATTGTCATTTCACACACCATAGATAGAACCAGAAAAAAATAGATGGATTAGATAATCGATAGGTAATTATAACACAGAGCAGTAAATAATATCCATTTATTTCTCACTGGCTGATTCCTTCCTTAGGCTTTGTCCTTTCACCACTTTGCTGCTTCCTCTGCCCTATCTCCCTTTTCCTTCTTACCTTCTAAGTTGTTGAGGTCTCCTTCTAGAGGAGGGGACTCAGGGAGACGACCACGGACACAATGAATGACCAAAAGCTGGTGGCTAATGGCAAAGTTTATTTCTAACGCCGGGTGTTATATACTAGTTTCAAGGCCACACCACAGGCATGATCTCAGCGATTGGTAATAAACCTCAATCACAAGGAGGCATGAGTAAGATAAACGATCAGTCACAATAAGCGACAAGCAGCTATATACTGTTTAAGCTAAGAACATAACATCAAGATAAGACAACATCTGTTTATGACCAGAAGGGAGTGTAAACTGTGAACAAGAGCAAACAGAGTTCAGGGGGTTGTTTGTAAGTCAAGGGATTTGGCCCCAGCACATCGCCTTCGGGACTCCTGTGCCCCGATGAGAACCAGCATTCCGGGGCTCGGGGTCAGCACTTTGGCTGCCCGTCCTCTCGTGCCCCAACACTGTCTCTCCAAAAAGTCTTCTTTTTTCAGCACAGCTCCCAAATTCTTACTGCACAGCTGGATGTGGTGGCACACAGCTATAATCCCAGCACTTTGGAAGACTGAAGCAGAATAATCACAAGTTCAAGGCCAGCCTGGGCAATTTAGTGACTTAGTAAGACCCTACCTCTAAATTTTAAAAATGGCTGGTAATGTAGCTCAATGCGAAAGCCCTGTGTTCAGTCCCCAGTACCAGTACCACACAAAAAAGTTCTTAATTCCTATAGTATGCAATCTATTTGATTCTGTCTTTTGCCCAACTCTTTCATCTAAGCTGAATAGGGCTTATTCTCACATGTCACAGTTAAAACAGGAAAACATTGAAACAACTAATTCCTTCAAGATGAGGTGTTTTTTTAATCTTCACAGATCAACTAACTAACTTAAACTGCTGCTAAGCTTTAAAATAGCATTTTTTTGGTCCCCACAATACAAAGAAATGAAAATATTCAGCTTCTCTAGTAATTAGAAAAATGTAAATTAAAATAATCATGAATGACTTTTCCCCTGATTGGCAAAGATGGAAAGGAATTCTAGTGAGGGCAAAGTGGAAGCAAGGACACACTCATACTCAGTGGCAGAAGTATGAATTGTTAAATTCCCAGCAATGTATATATTAAAACTGTTACGGTATATGTCTATGACCTAGAAACTGGCAGATGATCAGACTTGTTCACAAAGATGCATGATCACTTCATCCAGGTTTTATTTCTATTGCTGAGATATGGGTGCTCATTTAATTCAAGTGATATTATGGACTGCTCATTTAATATCTACTGTATGTGCAGTCTTGTGCTAGACTTGGAGTGGACATGTGTTAAAAGTAAAAACTCTACTTTTCTTTTAAGACTTTATACTCCTGTTGAACTGCCAGAGCACATTAAGATGTGCATTTGTTTCTTGCATATATAGTAGGTGTGGCTGAAATCAAAGAGAAAGGCTCTGGATATAGCTAGACAGAGATGTTTGTCCTTTCACTCTCACACCTTACCTAGTTACTTAGGCAGATTATTTGAGAAGGACAATGATGCTGACTTCATAAGTACTTGTAAGTATGGAGGAAGATTTAAGAGGGAGTCTTCCCATGAGGTCTGATAAATAGATAACATGTTAGTTCCTTACTTTCCCTTATAGAAGTTTCTATTTCCTTAGTATAATATCTGCAACAGGCATGTTCATGACTGAGCTATTATATTTGAAAACATTTTGTACATATTATAAGCATTTTAAGGTATTGTGAAACTGTTAGCTCTTAATATTTCAGTAATTTTATTAAGATAGGTAAGGATCTGATAACAAGTTTCTCATCTATAAATACATATGTGTATGTTGTATGTGTTTATATTATGTAAGTGCTAAATGTAATGTCTGGACTATATAGGTTGAAAAAATGAAATCAAAGAAAGACACTAATGTGGTTGGTAATCATTGGGGTTTCTTGGGAAGGTGAGATTGGAATGAAAACTTGAATTTAGACAGGATTTGACTATGAAGAGAATTATTTGCAGAAGCTAGTGGCAAAAAAGGAAAAGAAAATAGAAGTGAGAAGTAAGAAGATCAGTCTGCTGGAGGGTGTGGTTTTCTTGGAACTGGAGAGGAGAGATGAAAGAGGCAAGAAATATAATGTTATGTAATGAGAAACGACCATTTTAAGTTTTAAAGCAAGATAGTAATACTTTGTCATCATTGTGTTAGAATATATTTGTAGTGATTGTTTTTGACAATGGAAGTGTAAACAAAATGAATTTTAATTCAGCTTATTATTTTTCCTTTCACAACACATAGTGCCAATTTCCCATTTTGTAGTTATAGCTAATGCAAAAGATTTTTAAATTCTTGTATTCTTAAAATACTACATTATGTGACTAGATACAGATAACATTGAAATTTGGGGTTTTTTTTCTCATTGAGTTTATTGGTACATTTTAGGTATACAGTAAAGTTACATTCATTATTGGGATCTTGTACCTTTACATGACAGGTCTTGGTTCTCATTTTTCCCCTTATTTTCTCTGGTGTGAAAAACTATAATGGTACATAAGATCCTAACGGTATAATTGACAATGTGAAATAGGAAGAAAAGGGCTAAAGGCATAGGGGAAGTGGGAAGGTAGGGGAAAGAAAATGAGGGAAAAGGAAAAAAACATGAGAAAATTTAAAAATGGAAATAAAGTAGGGGTAAGGGAAATTTGACTCAAAAATATCCCCACCACCTCCACCATTTCTCCTTTCTGAGGCTTCTTATCATTATAATCTGAAAAACGTATAGTCAATTTTCTACACCTCATTATTTGATACTCCTATTAACTTGCTCTTCTTACAGATTTTCAATGGTAAGACAGTTACAATGTCCTGTATAATTTATATCTGCTTTTCATTGAAAGAAAAGGGATGTAAGTAACTTGCAGTCATTAGCAGCAAGTCAACTAATAACTTAGTGATGATGTATTCACTTCCAATGTTGTCTTCCTGAAATTTTCTCTTTTCTTACATTCTTTTTCACATTCCTCTACAGTATGGATGGAGCAGATCTGTGTTTTGAAATCGTAAAGCGAGCTGATGCTGGTTTTGTCTACAGTGAAGCAGTAGCCAGGTATGTAATCTTCCGAGAGGAAAAGTGGAAGTAAAAGAAGAAAAAGACAAATCACATGGAGTAGTAGCCTGCTCTTCTAGCTTATCCTGAGCAGACTTCTGTTGTTTGCTTCAAGGAACATATCTATTTCAGCATGCATTAGTCGAACCAAATAGTGACTAGAAACACAAAATAGCAAACATTAAATTCATCTATTAATACAAGTTTGCATTTTCACACCAGTATTGCTATTGTTCCCACTTATGATGCTTTTATGCAGGAAGTATCTGATAGCTTAGGAACCATTTAATGTAGGATTAAATTTGGGTGTTTTGTTTGATGTTTGTTTTTTGGCAGATTCACTTCATGAGTTCTTCATTTTGCTTTTTAGTCTTATCAAATTGTTATATGACCAGTTCATCTAAGGGAAAGCACAAAAACAGTAAAAAGAACAAAAGTAAAACTACCGTCTTTCTGAATATATTTGCTTCAGGCCAGTGTGTAGTCTCCAACCAAAGGGCAGCCATTGTTATAAGTTGATGAGTTGTCATAATGACCTAGTGACTCAAATTAAGGAGTAAATATGAAAAGTCACAGGAGCCATGCATGCACCAGGCCACTAGTTTATACATTTACAGCAATACAGCTTTCTGCTTTGGTCACATTCAATCATATTGTAAGTATACCCCAGTGGGTACCTCTTGCTGCATGGGACGCACCACCTTCCTCAGTCACCAACCAAAATATATTGAAGGATTCAAACCCACAAACCTATTGGGATTTATTTAAACTGTCTGTCATTAGAGAACAGTTACATCACGTAATAAACCTTCCTTCCTTCTATCATTCCTTTTGTAACTATAGCATCATAGAAGGACACAGCTGAAAAGTACTTAGAGACTAATTTAGCATAGCTTTGGTGTAGCTGTCTTCAAGTTCAGGGCACTGACTCCTCCTGGCCAAGAAGCAAGAGTCCCTTCTCAGGAATGGAGCAAGGATGGCTATAGCATAGAATAAAGAATGTGCTCAATGTGGGGTAGCTGCTCTTTAGTACTATTGTGGCCAGGGACAAGAACCAAATACAAGTTAATATAGAGTAACTGGAATTCTTTAGATTCCTGATGTATGGTAGAACTAAAGCAAAATATCTTCTTTTCTTTTATGCCATGGGTTTTAAGTTCCATCTTTCTATTAATTGAGTTCTTATCATAGCTTTAAATTAATACTCTTTTCTTAGGCTTCAAAGCCAGAAAGCATCAATAGTCAGTGCTATCTCTATTTTTTTGTGGCATAAATAAACCACACTCTCTGGCTAAATGAAGCTTTCATTGACTGTTACATATCTTGTTTATATGTATTTCTTAAAGAATTCAATAAAATTCATATGTTGAAATCTGAATCCCCAATATAGTGGTATTTTGAGGTGGAGCTTTGGGAGGTGATTGAAATTAGATGAGGTCCTGAGGGTAGGGTCTCCATAATGGGATTAATATCCTTATAAGGAGAGAAAGACTAGAGTACTTTCTTTCCCGCTGAAATATAAGGCCACACTTAGAAAATAGACTTCTCTAAGTCAGAAAGAGGGCTCTCACCAGAAACTGAATCTGCTAGGGGCCTGGCCTGATCTTGGATTTCGTAACCTCCAGAAATGTGATAAACATCCCAAAAAAGAATAAATGAAGAAGAAGAATTAGAGACAACTTGCCTTTTATACTTACCTGAATTAGAATTTTCCAAGGGCAGCATAAAATAAGGAAAACAAAAAATTTAGAATTTTCATTTCTTTTAAAATATTTTTCTTCAGTTGGTGAAGATGATTTCTTCCTTTTTGACCCACAGTAACACTGGGATATCTGGCATATGTGCTTTTAATTTAATATTAGATCACTGTTACTTTTACTCCATACCCCAGTCATCCTTTCGTAACTTTTCTTAGCTTCCCCTTAACTTCAGCCTGTCTCTGCCCCTGGGCTAGGTGTCAGGATAGGCAGGATGGTAGCATGTAATTGATGTCATGCAATGAAATGACTTGTGGTCTTTCCCAATCTCAAGATTTATAGAAAAGATAGGTGTGCATATACATCAAGATGAGAGCCTATTGATTTTTAAATCTACTTCTATTTGCTGTTAAAATGGTGATTTAATGAAAGAAACTTTCCAAAGTGGACTAGAAAAGAATAGCATTGAGGCCAGTAAGGAGCATTTCTCAGAGAAAGGTTTGGACACAATTCATCAAACACTAGTCCTAACCGTGCAAAGGACAGGAGGAGGCCTCAGATAGTATTATTAGGTCTACTCCCTACTGTAGAGGATCAGTGACCGTGTAACAGATGCACATGGATTCTTCCCTTGGTGTACAGGGCTTGGCAAAGATGTTTTGAACCTTCCATTTTCCTCTTTGATTCTGTGATTTGCTGTAAGGAAATTCAGCTTGTATCAATATTCTAGTGAGACCAACTGCAAGAATGCTCTGAGACACCAAATAATCAAATTGATAATGTTGTTTTTCTCCAGCTGGCTGAGTTTCAAGAGAAGCAACAAAGCATTGCATAAACTAAAAATCTGTTCAATGCTTAGTACAGCACAATTAGTAATTGCCTCTGTCTTTTCAGGGGTGATGAGTTGTGGAGTGAGCTAACATTATAGAATCAGATTATCAAATCAAATTCTCACAGACCAGAAAGAGCTTTTTACCTAATACCAAGCTTTTCTAAATAATTTCAACAAAACAGGAGAACAAAAAAAAAAACAGCTGAAGCAGACAAAGGCAGCTTCCTGCCTCATCTTTTCCTGTGTCAGCAGCGCACCCCGGACCCAAAATAGGTTAAGTCTCTACTCGAGGTTTGTGGGATTCCACATATGCGGGAACATTTTAATTATGAAACATCTCCACTTTATACCCAAGAGAGTTGGATAGCCTACTTGACTTTCTCCAGAAAGCCATCCATGCCTCAACGATCCCATCTTCTCTTTTCATAGAAAAGCATTAGCTAGGGGCATTGTGTTAAGAACATGTCAAAGACAAGACCTCTTCAGTCCAGGAAATAGGATTAGTCTTTTTACTCATAGAGTGGGAGTATAGACTGAGTCACCTCTCTTCTTTTTTTCTACTCTCCCTACCTGCTCTCTAAAATACCTCCTTCCAGAGGCAGTAAAGAGATTGCATCCAGCTCTTGCCTTACACAGAGTTATCTTTCCTAATCCTTAGGGAAGATGGACACAAATATATATATCTGAGTTTCTCTAAAAGTATGTACTATGATGCTTCATAAAATTAAGATTTTTTTATTAAAAGTTTAGTCAACAACTCTCTAGAATATGTGGACAGATTTTGGATCCCATTTTATTCTTCACATACACTCTTGACATATACAAGCCCCAGGGATGATAACTGGGAGGATGAAGAAAGATTCGTTTCGATTTGTTATAATTTGCAGAGAAAAATTCTACCCTACCTTCATATACCCTAAAGATTCCGTTGTGTGTGTGTATTTGGGTCAAATAATGAAGTACTCTGAAACTCACATCTAAAAATATTTTTTCAGTGAGTTTTATTTTGTTTTTGTTTTATGAAGCTTTGAGATAGGACTTTTCTTTGGGTTATCTTACTACTTTGTTTCCAAGATAGTTCATTCTGTAGGTACAAGCAATGTCCATTTCACTTAGTTTAAACCCATTAATCCCTGCTGACAGCTGGATTGACACTTAGGGTATTCCTCAGACTTTAAACTTAATAAGAAATTGGGGGGGTGGATACCAGGAATCGAACTCAGGACCTGGCACTTGCCTGGAAGGTGTGGTGCCACTGAACTAAATCGCCAGCTAATAAGAATTTTGTAATAATGACTTAATCTTTGTAATGCGTTTAGAGTTTGCAAAGCATTTTGGCATTCACAGGTCCTACAAACCCTGATTTAAACCTCTAAAAGGTTTACAGCATCAAGGTAAGACCTCCTAACTTAAACCTGAATTATAAGCTACCCTGGCAAAAAGTATATGACCAACAACCCTTCATATATGCATTTATAAAGTAAGAAAAATTGAGCTTCAGAACTAAGGATTGCATGAACCTAGCTCTCTGGCTTAGACTGCTTTGAGGAGACAATGTAAGTATAAAGAAACCAAGTCTGAGTTTGGTCTGGGTTTGGGGCTGTTTTTCCTGCCTCTCATTTTTAAAATGGAACCTTCTAGTCCATTGTAATACATGAAATCATGCATGTGCTAATTAGAGGGACATTTATGTGAGCTTGGTTAGGTAGTATCCTAGGAAAGAAAGAACTTGATGGAAATGTCTTCTAATTGTAAAGCAGTTGTAGAGAATTTTTTTGTTTTGAATCATAAACACACATACAAGATCATTTGTATACTATTTGAATACTATTTTTAAACTATGTCGTTTTTCTTTTGGTGTCAGAAATATAAGATCAATCTGAAAACAAAACAAAATTTAATAAATGCCATGCAATAAGCTTGTTGAATATTGCATTCCTATATAGTGGCTGGTTGGAAAGAAAAGGGGGAAAATAATAGGGAAAAAAAGAGAAATGGAAGAAGTAAAATGCAAAGGGAGAGAAGATGAAACAGAAAGAAGAATTATGAAAGGCAAATAGATTTAGAAATAGAAGGAAGTTCTGTAGTACTGAATAACTACAGACAGTTCCTGGCTTACCATGGTTTGACTTAGGATGTTTTACTTATGATAGGATGAAAGTGATAAGCATTCAAAGCAGGGTGTGGCGGCACATGCCTGTAATCCCAGCACTTGAGAGACTAAGGTAGGAGGATTGCCACAAGTTCAAGGCCCACCTGGACCACATAGTGAGTTCAAGGACAGCCTGAGCTACATAGTGAAACCCTGTCTCAAAAGAAAAGAAGAAGAGAAGAAAGACAAGCATTCATTAGAAGTCACAAGTACAATTTTTAATTTTTCTCTTTTCCCAAGCTACTGATAAGTAGTCCAGTACTCTCTCACAATGCCCAACTCCAGGCTGTGTTCTAAGCACATTTAAAGCAGATTGGGCTAAGCCAGGATGTGTAGCAAAATAGGTGGGTTGAATGCATTTTCAACTTAATGATGGGCTTCTGCAGCTCTGCCACACTGTCAATCAGGGACATTTGCACTCTTGGTCTACTGTACTATGTTCCTAATTGAATCTGTTACCACTTTTGTTTTTGGTACAGGGGATCAAACTCAAGACCTGGCGCTTGTGAGGCAGGCAGTGGAACCACTGAGCTAAATCCCTGGCCCTACCTGTTACCACTTTTTAATTATTTGTGCTACTGAGGGTTGAATCCCAGCCCTTTGCACTGAGCTAAATCTCTAGCTCTTTTTTATTTTTTATTTTGAGACAGAGTCTAAAATAAATCTCTAAATTCCCCAGACTCGGCTCAGGCTTGCAATTCCCCTGCCTCAGCCTCCTAGAGTGATGGAATAACAGGCATGTGCCATCACACTGGCTTCTTAAAAATGCTAACCCCTCCATTAGTTATCCATCTGTAACTGATAGAGGAACCTCAGGAGACACAGCTGGCCACATGAGGGGTCAGACTGCCTGTGATTTGGTTCTAGAACTAACCCTGCTTTGTTCAAGGATGCCCCCAACTAAAACCTGATTGGATTACAAAAAGAAAACTGTGTGCATAAGGAGGGAACCACTTCTGCAGGCAGGCGGAGGCTCCAGCCCTTTAGTCAGAATCACTGAGGTAACTCTGACAACTGTTTACGTAGTAGTGAACCAGTTTAACCAAGTAGTCTTAATTAAGTATTAGAAAGTTTCTTCATGCTTTAAACTTGAATATTCAATTTGTAGAACAGATTTACATGGGAACTACATGGAATTCTTTTGACTTAATTTAGAAAATATTGAACATACCTTCATGAAGGCCATAAATTTTATGAGACTTCCAACTTTTTCATTTAGCTTCATTTTCTCACCTGGTCAGATGAAAGATGTCTGTAGACAACTGATACAGAAGGGGGAGTTATAAACTAGGGATGCTGTATTAACTTTTAAAAATAATTTTCTTTACAGTTTTAAATTTTTATTGTTGTTTTTTACAGCCATTACATGAGACAGATACTGGAAGCTCTGCGCTACTGTCATGATAACAACATCATTCACAGGGATGTGAAGGTAAGTCATTCTTACCTTCATTACCTTTAATGTTTATGAAGAGAAACAGACATAATGATGGCAATAATCAGAACGTTTTTTCTAATAGTCTTACAGAGAGCATCTTAAACTGAATGATATTTACAAATGAAAATTGATTTAACCCCTTTATATTTGAGAAGTCATGGTACCAATTCAACAGGACTACCTTATAATTTCAATTTCCTTTTTTACTAAAGGTTACATGTGATCCAAAATTTTTTTATTCTCCTTTTGCCATTGTATGTGAGAGAACAAGAAAAGGAAAACCAGCAAATCAGAAAAACCAAACTATGTCCCATACTCAGTTAATTGGGAGAAAAATTATCATTTATTTTATATAGTAAAAGTTGACCATACATTTACATTTTCATACTGTCGCAATATAGAATAGTCAGCTCTGTATTTTCTTTGCAGATAGTTTTTAGTATATAGTATGAAATCATAATTAGAGGTAAAATACAGCCTGTACCCTTAAAATATCAGATGATCATTAGTCAGTCTTTCTGCCTGTTCTACCTACTGTCAAATTAATGAGAATTTTCAGTCTCTGGTTTTAACAGTGTCAAGCAAAACATAGAGATAGGCCAGAGAGGAGACCAGTGGGCCTTCCTCCTTATCCCTAGCCCTTTTCAAGGAAGGCCTAGGGCAGTGATGGTAAACCTTTTACAGACCAAGTGCCCAAACTGCAATCCAAAACCCACTTATATATCACGAAGTGCCAACACTGCAATTAAACCTGAACACTCATGTTTTAACTTAGAAAAAGCAATTCATACATTGAGAGTTTTTCTCTTAAAATAAAAATACAATAACAGAACTTTCAGTGATACAAACAGCTTTTTATTGAAAGGTAGAAGTTTGTGTTTGGTGGGCTCTGCTGTTTGTATGCATGCTGATCATTTGTCAAACCTCGGCTGAAGTGACTTGGCTTGCATGTCAACAGAGAGGGCTCTGCATGCCCATTGCACCATTAACCACCAGTGGCCTAGAATCACTGAGGAGCCTCTGAGGTTTGTCTGGCCCTGGGCTATGCTTTGAAACGCTGCTATTTTGTTCCTGGCCTCTGTCTACGTGGTGTTCCTTCCTTTGTGCAATATTGTTAAAGGCCTGGCTTCTTCAGCATATTTTAAATGACCAAGAAAATTAAGTAGAGTTTAGTTAAAGTTTCTATGACTGGGAAATTGTAATAGAAATTCTTATAGTTAAAGATGAGGGAAAGCATGAGCAATTCCCAAAGCATCTAGCAGAATGTTATAATACCAATTCAAAATCATGGGAGAAATGTACAAAATATACATTCATGTAAATTAGTTGTATAATAGTCTCTCAAATGTGATGATAGGAAATTGATATGGTTATTATGAAAACTCAACACTGAACAGCCTGATGAATGAGTGACACTTTTTTTTTTACTTTTTTTTTTTTTTGTTATTCAGAGAGTAAGAATTGTGAAAAGGTAGAAGAGGAAAAATTGTCAAATATAGTAACATACTGTGAGACCCTTTTGCATTTAATACATATAGAAAAGCGATCTGTATAAAGTAAAATATATCTCCTTGTATTAGAAGATATGTACAAGGAAAATTATAATTGTAAAATATGTGAAAGTGGTCCTATTAAGATTGTTAGTTCATGTAATAGCATTGTATTAAAAACTGTTTTGCCCAAGAAGTAATTTTACTTTACATGAATTCTGTTTTTGAAAAATAATTGTATCAATGTCATATAATTATGATTTACAAGGTACTCCACTATACCCTCACTAATGCTCAGATTTTGATTAGCCGTGGTGCTGTGTATGATATAATGATAATCCAAACCACTTAAAATTTTAAACAGTTATATTTGTTTCACCTTTCAGTTTATCTTCTGATTTAATTTTTCATCAAATATTTGAGTGCCAACATCATGCAGAATGCCAAGCTTAGAGTCCTGAAAGTATTATGTTCTCAGTAAAGTAATAAGGCAGCATATCTTATATCTAGTGCTGCAGCTCAGCACACACCAAAACTTTAACTTCAAAGAACAAGTGCAATTGTTTGCTGACAGTCTTGCGGTTTGGGCAGAGCTTCCTGGGACTTCTCACTTGTTCCCCAGGCTTTTGGCTAAAGCTGCATGGCTAGTTTGCACAAAGGCTTCATTCAGTCTTTTGGCATCTCAGCTGAAGTAATTGGAACAGCTTAGGAGCTGGCTAGGCTTTCTTTATCATCTCTCACTCAGGGCTTATCTCACTCTCTCCACATGGCCCCATCTCCTGTAGGATAGAGCCTGAGGGATCCAACAGAGCAAAAATGGACATTGCCAGACCTCTTGAACCTAGGCCCAAAATTGGCACTGGTCACATCCTCTGTATTCAGTTACTTCCGTCAGTCATGTAAAGGTCATAAGGCTAGCCTGGGCTCCAGGGGGAAAAAGTAGATTTATCTTTTCACTGGAGGAACACCAGCTGTAACAAGGATGGAAGCACTTGTTGGCAGCCATCTTTATAGACAGGCAGGCACATAGTTACTGAGCACCAGTAGTGAGTCAGTAAAAGATAGAGTCAGAGATTTCAGGGAATAAGTCATACTGAGATCTGGTTTTGAGTCATAGAGTAGTTTCATGGAAACAAGAGGACTTTTCACAGAGTAGGAACAGTGTGTGCAAAGGTCCAAAGTAGTTTTGCATTGAATTCTGTTATATTAATTTATTTCTAAAGTACATGCCACATAATTTGAGGAAGCACCCAAAAACCTTGTGAGGAAGGGAAGAGAAGTAATTCTCAAACTTCAAATTGATAAGAATAAACCACCAAAAAATAAAATAACGTTATTTTAGTCGGCAGGGAAGCAACACAGAGCACATATTAGTGTTGGTATTCTTTGTATTTCAGTACTTGAAATCTATACATTTTACATAGTAAATGGAATATTCATATTTAGTTAATTGACAGTGTTGAATTTGGCATATTTTCTTAAGACATTCATCCAAAAGATATTTATTGGGTGCGTACTGTATGCAGGCCCTGCCCTAGGAACTGAAGCTACATCCATGAACAAAGCAGACAAAATCACTCCCCTCTTGGAGCTGACATTCTAGTTCAGGGAGACAGATAATAATCAATAATCAAAAATAAGTAAACTATAAATTACAGGTCAGTCAGTAAAAAGGACCTCAGGGAAGCCAAGCACGGTGGCACACACCTGTAATCCCAGCGCTCTGGGAGGCTGAGGCAGAATTGCAAATTTGAACCCAGTCTGGGAAACTGTCTCAAAGATTTTTTAAAAAGTGTTTTAATGGGTTGCAGATGTAGCTCCGTGTGAAGGCTATAGAGGAAATAAGGGTGGTCAAAAGGCAAAGGAGTGCTAGCAAAGAGACCACAGTTTTAAATAGGATGTCAAACAAGGTCATGTTGAGAAGATGACATCTAAGCAAGGACTTGAAGGAGGAGATGGAATGGGCTGAACTGATAACTAAGGAAGAGTGATCTAGGTGAAAGGAATAGCCCATGTGATGGTGCTAGGACAGGCCCACAGGGCACTTGGTGTGGCCAGAGGAAAGGCAGGCGGGAGATTTAGCTCAGTGGTACCACCGCCTGCCTCACAAACACAAGGTCCTGAGTTCAAAACAAACACAAGGTCCTGAGTAAAAAAAAAAAAAAAATTAATAAGCAAGTTCTGTTGCATAGCTGGATACAATGTCAACATAAATTATAATAGCATTCCTGTAAAGAAATAAAAAATCACTCAAAAAAAAAAAAAAAAAAAAAAAAAAAAAAAAGCAAAGAGGAAAGGAAATACAGACGGTCCATGATCCTGCTTGGCTCAGACCAGAGGGGTAACAGTGGAGGCAGTAAAAAAAATCAGATTCCAGATACATCTTGAAGGTTGTGTCAACATGATTTCCTAATACAACTTCAGAGATGTAGGTAAAAGTCATTTGTTTCAGCATCTTGTTAGAGGAGCGCTCCCATGCAGAGGTTATGGTAAAGTTTTAATCATGTTCTATTTCACATGGCTAATAATGTAGCAAGCACTTCAGTTGGTTTCTTTGGTTAATATTTTTTGCCAAGAAAGCTGCCTACCAGCTTTCTTTGCATTCAGATAAAATATGCAGTGACTTGTCTGTATGTAGATTGAGTTTGTAGATTTTGGGTTCTGCTGTTAAGTTTTTGTCTGAGTTTGCTTCTCTTATGTTTGCTAAAGAAAATAAAAGCCAGGCGTGATGGTACATGCCTGTAATCCTAGCACTCTGGGAGGCTGAGGCAGGAGGATCACAAATTTGAGCCCAGCCTGGACAACTTAGCAACTTAGTGAAACCCTGTTTCAAAGAAAAATAAATTAAAATAGGTGTGTAGCTCACTGTGAAGCCTGAGTCTGTTTCAAAGTAAAAAAATAAATAAACAAAAATAAAAAGGGTAGGGATGAAAATCGGTGTTGAAGGCTCTAGGTACAGTACTCAGCACAGAAAGGAAGGAAGACAGAAGAGCATGATAGTACTATTCTCTTAGAAATGTATAGATTATTTAATTATCTGTTTTATCTCACTAAAAATATTTTCATATTCTCTCCCCCTCCAATATGTTCCAAAAGTATTAGATTTCCCAAAGGTCCTGCCATTATATTTATTAATGGTGCTATTTTTCCTAATTTGATGGACATTTCTTTTTTAGATCATCACAAATGAGTCTAAAAAGGATCGTTTGATTATATTTGAGTATGCAGTATCATGTGAACTGTAGTGGAAACTGCTTGACTTGGAGAAGCAGTTTCACATGAAATTGCATAAAAATAATTGTGTAATTCTTGGAAATACAAGACTACGTATTATCATAAAACATGTTCTCACAACAGCCACACTAGTAACATCTGGGGCCAGATACTTTGTGTGGGAGGCAGTCCTGGGTATTTTAACATGGTTACATCCCAGCTTCTTCCCACTAGAGGCCGGTAGCATCTTCCCCAGGTGTAAAAACCAAAAATTTCTCCACACATTGCCAAATGTCCCCAGGGGCACAAAATGGCTTCCAGTTAAGACTTATTGTTGTTGTATAATGTTATATTTCTTGTGTTTCACCTCCCTGTAGGTATTAAGGTATGCATACAAATTTCTCCCCCCACCATCACGGTCTTCCTTTTACTTTTTCTTTTTCTTGTGAAAGAAGATGAAAACTTCCGTTACGTCTCAGTGATCTTTCTCTTCCCCTCACCCCTAATTTAAAAGTACTCAGGAGAGAAATAGCACAGTTGTCAGGGGTAAATTCGACTCCTGTCTCCTGGCCTACTTTGCTGGTTCTGATCAGCCTGAGAGCTGGTGGAATCCTCTGGGCTCTTCTGACTCCTGTGGACAGATTCACAAGGCATCGTCTAGGTGTGCGGAGGCTCCAGCATTCCTTAGGCCTTTCTGTCACCCTGACCCACTCAGGCACAGTTTTAATGACTGAAGTTGAAGTGAAGCAGCTCCCCTGCGAGTGCAGACTGCTCGCAACAGACACGCAGTCACTTCTATTCTGAATGAGGCCCGAGCCCAGGAGGTTTAGATGCTCAGTTTTGAGTTCTCAGAACTGTGCAAACCCCAGTTGCACATACGCTCAGCTAGAGGCCTCCAGTCCAAGTGTTTCTGAGTGTGCTTCCTTTAAATGGTTTTCCTCCCAACCTGTATCAACATGCCTGGCTGCTCTCTGGTCCCCTTCTGCTCTCAGTTCTCCTTTCACATGCCTAAGGCCTGGCTTTATTGTAAACGTATGTTCATGTAACCCTGGTTGCCGTGGCATTGTGGATTTCTTAAAGTATTCCTTCCTCTTGCTTTCAGTCTCTGACATTTCTTTTACTTGTGTTACCACAACTCTCAAAAAGCTCTCACTTTCTACAAAAAAAATTAAATTCTTGCAAACTTATTTTATTCTTTAGTATAAGAAGCAAACTGGTTGGTTAATCTGGCATTGCTTTTGTAAGGTCATTGAACATAATGTGCATGTTTAATTTGTAGTGTTTTAACTACATAGATTATGAGATCATCCTCAACTTCATTCGCATTTCTAACTGCTATACTTCTATTCTCCCAATATGCTCATTAGAAAGGACCCCCCTAATTTTTTTAAGGGTGGCCAGTCCCAACACTTGGGAGCCAACACAGGAGGAACACTGTGAATTCAAGGCCAGCCTGAGCTACATTGTGAGTTCAAGGCCAGCCTGAACTACATGGCAAGACCCTGTCTCAGAAAGAAAAAAAGATGGGTGATTTTTTTTTTTGCTTATTAGACATGCCCCCCCCATTTTTCCTCACATTTTAAGCCAGGGATTTAGCTTAGTGACACCGCGTCTGCCTTGCAAGGGCACGGTCCCAAGTTTGATCCCTGAAACAACAACAAGAAAAAAGATGTTTTTCTGTCAGGTGTAAAACCTTTCTTGTTATAGCTATTCTTCCCAGTGATACCGATTCCATCGGAATTTGAGGGCCATCCGAGAAAGATGGCTGCATGACTGAAACACTTAGCAATTACCAGCATCTCTTTGTGTTCGTCCCGTGGTTTGCCAGCAAGCTCTCCTTTCACTTGTCTTCACTCATGTGCCCATAGTAACTCCCACCCTGGCAAACTTCAAGACCAAAGATAGACCAAGAGTCCTCACCAAATCAAAACAAGATGGGCCATTTCCTCTCCTACCCAGGAGGACAGAATCATTTCCAGGTTAAAGATGTATCCTGATTTTTGCTCATGCAGTCTTAATGGTTTGTTTTCCTGATTAATAGTTTAAAAGTGCCTTAATGAAAATGCCTTGATGTAGAACGAATAAAAGAGTAAATAGTGTGTCATGCATATTTCCTTAAGCTACAGTATTATCTTATTGGCCTATAAGTCAGAATTTCAGATTTCTGAAATCCCAAGCTTGTGTTTTGACTTTAACTCACAGAGAAACATTAAAAATACTATTTTTCTGAAATTCAAATGTTAAAATTAAGAATTTAGAAAATGAACTAGGACTAGAGTCCCATTTGACCCACCTATTCCTCTGCTGAGTATCTTCCCAAGAGAATTAAAGGAATCATACCACAGTTATACATGCTCACTCATGTTTATAGCAACACAGTTTGTAACAGCTAAAACTTGGAAACAGCCCAATTGCCCATCAGCGCGAGACTAGATAAAGAAGATGTGGCTTTTTTATAAAATGGAGTACTACTCAGCCATAAAGAATGAGAAACTAGAGACATTTATAGCAAAGTGGATGCACTTTGAGGCCACACTCTTCAGTGAAATAAGTAAGACACACGTGTAAATACTGAATAGTTCCTCTGGTGTGAAAAACTGAAAGTGTAAATAAGGATCAAAATGTATAACTGACATTGTGAAATAGGAAGAAAGGGTCTAAAGGAGTAGGAGAAGTGGGAGGAGTAGGGGAAAGGAAAGGGAAAATAAAATATATGAGATAATGAAAAAATGGCAACAAAGTCTTTGTAAATAGGGAGGGGGGGAGGGGTTGAAGGGAGGGCAAGGGAATGGGGAAAAAATAAGAACCAAGATACATCGTGTAAAAGGACAAGATCCCAATGATGATTGTAACTGTATTGTATACCTAAAATGTGCCAATAAACTTAATGAAAAAAGAATTTAGAAAATGATATTTTATATACAATATTTATTGTGACATTTTATAGCCAGTTCTTTAGTTGCATCAAAAAAATCATGGTTTACAGTCAGTTGTTTCGGAAAGCGTCTATGGCATAAAGATAGATGTGACGCTAATGACTTCAGCATATAGTTCAATACAGTAAGTTTAAGTGGGAGTTTTCTATTACCATGAGTAACCTGAAATTGCATATTATCTCTCTTCCTGCCTTTTTTAAATGTAGGAAACTACTTTGGTAACATCTTTTACTTTTTACTTAAAGTAATGGGCAGAGCTATAAAGTGATTTTTTTAAATATTGTTTTTTAGAGGCTATATATATTTTTAAATACTTAGTGCAGTGATATTTAATATAGTATTGTTTATGTCAAATGAAAATTACTGATTATCTCAGTCTGATGAGTTTTGGTTTTAAAACTCATGAAAGAATAAAACTACTATTGTAACTGTGAAGGAATCTGGGCATCTCAGGAATTTTCCTGAGGGACTTTGAATTGTTCTGTGATTGCAGGTCTAGAAAGTCACTAAATTGGATGCTTCCATTTACAGTCAGTACACAGGGAGGTCCCTAGAAGTTCCCAAGGTCTCCCTTCTCTACAAATTACTGAGCCAGAAACCTGATTGCTAGTATAAAAGAAAGAACAGATATACACTCTAAGTACTTGAAGCCAGAATGTGTTCGGACTTTTCTCTGAACATTTTCATCTCTCAGTTAAACATTGAAAAAACAGGACAAATATTTTCTGGTTTTGTTCTACAGGTTTTTAATGAAAATTTTACAAATATGTCAGAGCAACCTTTAGTGATTTTGAATACACAACTCTAGAGAGTCTGTACAGTGAATTGCTTCCACAGGTGTTTCTAATTCAGGAACAAAACACGATATGAGATTAAAGACTCCTGTGAACTTACTTTAAACTTCCTTTTGAGCGCTAAAGGAGAAAAAAATGAGTACACAGTTTCAACTGTTTTTGTTTGTTTCTTATCTAAGAAAATGCAAGTACCATATAGGTAGAAATGGAAAATATGTTATAGCTCTAAAGGTGCTTATGATTTTGGGAAAGCAATATATTTTTAAATTTTTTAAATTATAATGTATACAATGCACAATGTAACCACCATTTGTTGTACAAACAGGATTACATGGAAGAAAGAAATGACCGCTAAGAAATGCTTGCCTCTTAAATACTTAGGTATTAGAGAAAATTGGGATGACTTACTTAACTATGCACTTGAATTTTTTCATCAGTAAGGAAATTGGTATACTGTGTGGCTGTCATGATTAAAACAGTACATGTAAAGCATATAACCAGAGTGCCTGGCACAGAAGTGCTTACTAAGTAACACTGTGATTTTATTACAGTGCTTTCTCATTCATTCATTTACTTCACAAAAATTAATAGAACATTTCACTAATAACATTATTTACACTGGATACAAAAGGAAAAAATAAAATGCGGTAAAGGGTGGACATATAATGATATTATATCAGCTTTTTATTGTCAGAGCCTAATCTAAATATTTAAGCATATTTATAAGTAATATCTGCTTAATAAATACCAGAGTCAATGAATATTGCCTATCCCAGTAACATGAGCCAGATAATAACAAATAAATAATATGCTATTAAACCTTGGATATTTATACTGTATTATTCTTAAGAGTTAAATGACATTTCTTATTCATTTTTTCTTGCATTCATTTTTCAAGTTTATCAGAATTACCAAACAATTACTAAGTACAGATGGACTTTTGTATTCTGGTAGAAAGCAGACACACCATAGGCCATTTGCCACTTCATCTTACAGTTGTACAATACTAAGTTCTGAACAGAAGATCTACAGAAGAGTTTTTTAAAAATGGGTATTTGATTTCATGTGCAGTGGGATCCTTTCAGTACACTTGACTTCTGCCTTTGAAAATCGCTGCCATTTCTACTTTCAGTATAAGAAGAGCTATAAATTGAGATATATATATATTATTAAACCAAAGTGGTTTTCTTGGTACCTGTTGTCAACCAGGATATGATATGTTACTCCTTTACTTTAATGTCCCTAATAGAGTCACATGAACATTTTTCTATTTTGTGGTGTTTTTCCATCCAGAAGTCAACTATATGGTTGTATATCTGGTGAATTAGATTTTGTAAAAAGACTATATAGTGTCTTCTTGAATGTTTTATCTAAGAGAAGGAATATAATGGGGTCGGTGCTACTTCTGGCTGAAGCAAGACAGGTGAGGACATTTTTTGTTTCTATTAAATAATTCAATTGCAGACAGTCCTGTCCTTTATGCAGAACATAAAAAATAGGTTTAAAAATACTATATGGAAGAAAGCAAATGACTAGTAGAATCTGGATGACCAAAAGATGTCTTCTCACAGAATTGTAAGTCAAGTCTTTCTCTGTAATGGATGAACAGGCCCTTATTTTTCTCAGATGGCTGACAAAAGAGTAGTACGATGTTAGTACTACTAAAAATGAAAATCCAGTGAATGTGGTTCCAATGAGACCCGCAATCTGAGAGGTCGTGGCTCCCTGTTCCATCTGCCGATTGTAGCACTGGCTCTCTCCTCCTTCTGTAGCTTCTACAACTGAGTAGTATATGATAATGGGAATAATTATGCCCAGTACAACTCCCCATATGTAAATGCACAGTTTTCTAGCAAAGTTGGGCTGGCGAAATTTTTTTAGTAAGTGGCCATAAAATATTTTCTCATAGCATGAAGTGGTCTCTTGCGTGGAATCCTTTTTCATTAAAGTAGCATAGCGGCTTACAGCAATCCAACTTAAAATTAAGAGGCTGACAAACATACTTACATGCATGGATAAAGTTCCCAGAAAACTGACCACTCTGCATTGTGCAGATTGATATTCCCATTGGAAACCTTTCAGAAAATAGATACCCATGAAAGGCATGGCACTGCACACAAGTAAGTTTGCAGTCACAAGATGTGCCAGGTAGATGTGTGTTGATGTTTTCTTACCTATTTTTGTCAAAAATACCCACTGAGAGAGTGAGTTTCCAAAGAGACCAACAATACAAAGGATGGTGTAAGTGACTGGTAAAGCTCTGGAAGTGATCATGGATGGTTGAATGCATGTTGAATTGTTACTCATTTATATCAGATCTTGAATTTTGTCACAGGAGCTAGAACAGAATTGCATATATTTAATATTAGCACTTTAGGTGGCATTTAAGCTAAATAATTTTTTAAAGCATTGGGTAAAATAATAGCCAAATGTATTGGATGGAAAGGGAAGGTATAGATGGCTTCTTACCTTTTCTAATCACGATTATCTTGTTACAATAAAAGTAAAAATATGCTTATTGTGATGGAGAATGCCTTTGTCTAAAAAGAAAAATAAAAGCAAACAGTTAAACTTCTAAGATTTATCATTTTATGTGAGAGTAATTTATAGTTCTTATAAAGCAATGTGTGATGAAAGAAATATAATTTTTAAATGTAAGTCATATATGAATAGTACATGCTGATCAAAGAAAGGTGTTACAGAAGTATTTTGTGGCCACATTAGATGAGGGATAAGACTTTTTAATTAGTACATTGCTTGTTTGTAAATAGTTTTCAAAATGGTGTCTTTTCATGATGAGATTAAAACTAATCTAATACAGAACTATTAGAAGAGTCCCTTTTCATAGTTCCTAAGTAAACTTAATTCCACATGAACAAAAACTCAGGCAAGTGCCTGAATTGAACAGAAGGATAGCATAGAGACTGAAATCTCAGGGCCATTATCAAAGGCATCAGAAATTGTTTTTTCAAATAGTTATTGCTAAACTGTCACACTTCAAAAAAAGATAAAATTGTTGTGCCGGGAATGGTGCCGCATGCCTGTAACCCCAGCACTTGGGAGGCTGGAGCAGGAAGATCCCCGCTAGATCAAGGCCAGCCTGGACTACGTAATAAGTTCAAGGCCAGCCTAAACTACAGAGCAAGATTATGTCTCAAAAAACCAAAGGGGGGTGTGTGCTGGGATATAGTTCAGTGAGAAGGTGCTAGGTTCAATCCCCAGTAGGGTGGGGGGTGAAATTGTACTTCAGAACCCTAGTCGCTGTGCTAGTTGGGGAGAACTCACTCATGGGTTCTCCTGTGTAACTCCATGTTATCTGAGTTTTTCAGATTTCCTTTTTCTCCCCAGTATTAGGAATGGACCTCAGGGCCTGCTACATCTCCAACTCTTTCCCCCCCTGCCTTTAAACAGTGTCTCACTAAATTGCCCCAGTTTGAATTTGCAATCCTCTTGCCTCGGCTTCCCAGAGGCCTGGGATTGCAGCTGTGTACCACCATGCCCAGTTTCAGAGGATTCTTTGCTTGTTTAGAGGATATGATATTTTAATCATAGTATAAATGCAAGTGTTATTTTTGCTTTTTATGCCTTCATCTTTATGATCATTCTTGCTGCAGAGGATACACAAAAATGCTGAAGAATCACATATATAATCTCCCTTGCTTATTTTTTCTCCTTATTTCCTTATTTTTTCAAGTGAAAATAACAAAGAAATGTTACTAGATTCTGGTCAAATGAGAACAGTGATCTCTATTCCAATGAGCCACTTTTCCTCTTCACCATAACTCTCTGGGCACCATGTTCCCCACTATTTTATGATCTATAGTAGGATTTCTCAATTTTTAAATCACATTCCATTTTAATAAACATAAAAATCTTACCATAACAGACTTCTGATCTGTCTCCAGCCCTCAGGTCTATTTTACCATCTATCCCTCTTCCAAATCATGGTTTCACTTATTTTCCATATCCTGGATTATTTTTGAAATGTATTTCAAATTTTATAAACATCAGGATTTTTTCAAATATAATATTTTAATTTTAAAATTAGTTTTTAAACCAAACAATCCACACTCAAAGACTTAAAATCTTAGGCTGTGCGGTGCCTCTGTGTTCAAATATTGAGACCCTTAATTGATGTCTAACACTGCCCTCATGATTTTTACTTATTTATTTACAGTTTTTATTTAGAAAGCAGCCCATATGCTTCAGAGTAAGTCTGTATCTGGTGAACTGCAATCTGGATGTAGTTGGCACAGGTGCAGTTATAAATATATAAAACTTAATCTGTAACATTACTGATGGAAAACTCAGAGAAACAAAGAGTGAAGTAAACCAGTTTATTTCTTAAGGAAAAGCCACCTGTTCACAGTCGATGGATTTTAAATAAAGAATGGTTTTTCTTTTTATTATGCTAACTACAAAAAGAACACTAGCCCCTGCCTTATGTAGAAAATGCATAATATACTAAAAACAGCAGAGGTGATAGTGCTTCTGTATGAGAATCAACATCAAATGCATCTGAACAAAAGAGAGGTAAAAGACTTTGCAGAGGTTAGCTTGATCAGACAGTTGAGAACAGTAGCAACTAGTTTACCATCTTTAGCTTCCCAAATTTGTATCTACTGTACCTCTCCTTTAGAAGTAAATTTTACTTCTAAAGCTACTAGGTGCTTCTTTTGGAAATACCATTAAATTTAAGAAATAAGATCAAAATTACATGTTACCGATATAGAATTGCTTTCTAGAAGAAAATCTCCCAAGTCCTCATTCCCTTCAGCAGAACATCTGTCTCAAGTCACTCATGTACACATTGAATCACTGTAATTTGACAAATGAGTAAGTTCCACAACCTGAACAGTTACTAATGATTATCTACATAGTTATATCCTTTCTTATTGCTCAGTTTTCCAAATTTAAAGTGTAGTCCTGTTAGAATTTTTATAGAATTAACTTTTAAGCTAAAAATGAATAATCACCCTTACCTGTATGAGTAGTTTATGCCAATTAAGGTTATATTATTCAAGGTACTGATGCAAATTTCAGACTTAAAGTTCTCTGATCTTCACTCTTCCAGTATCCTTAGTCAATGTAAATAGATTTTTGTATGATGCCAGCTACAGCAGGGGGAAAGGAAATTAAATAGAGTATGAAGAAATCCAATAGCTATTGCTAATGTAAGTATCTCCTCAAAAAAAGAAAAACCTCATTTCTCTATTTCAGTACTAAGAGGAAGTTTGAGGACATTATATACATACATGTATTGTACTTCCTTATTATTTCATGAACTAGTTACACCCCATTTAGCTTTATTAACATGATTGGCTGAACTTCAAAGGTTTAATCCCCCATAAGCTAGTTTTATATTATCTCATGACAGAGGGAACCACACTGCAGTGACCCAATAAAATACTGGTACAGGTTTGTCGGTAAACTTACCTGTAAAATCATAATGTGGGTGACTCATTTGCAATCCATCTTTATCAAGAAGAGGGAGACAAAGCTCAAAGCTTTCTTATAGTAGCATACTCGAATCAACTATTCATAAAGCTGCACTAGAACTTCATGATCATGTATGGGTTGAGATCCTATGTATTAAGGTTGAAGTCGCTGAGACCCAGAGAAGTCCACCATAAGCACAGACCACGCTGGTTTGGCTCCCAGTTTTGTGACTAATGAACTAATTCACTCTTCTAACTGCTCTGTGCTGCCTCTGTTCAGCTTCAACGCAGTGCATCGTTTGAAGCATTGTGGTAATAGATTTGGAATATCCCGGCAAGTGACAAATATGCCTCGGATCAAATGAAGATATAATATAATGAGCTGTGAAACCAATTTTATGAATAAGATTATCTAGTCAATCTGTGAACTACTAACTAAATGAAAGCTAAATGTGCACAGCTGGGGAGCCAGACTGCCTCAAGCATCCTTCCTTGGGTAGTTAAACCAGAGGAATCTGAAAAAGAGAACAGAAATCCAATTTCATCAAGCCTGAGCACTTTAGTTATCAGTAAATCTGCATTTAAAATTAATAGAAGTATTTGCTATTTCAAAAACCCCCAATGCTTATCGCATTTCATGTGGATTGCACAAATTCCCTCTGGTGCTTACTAGTATTTTTCTCTAAATCAGAAATGAGAGCTCCATATGGAAGATATTGTTCTGCTACTGTGCATCTTCGAAGTATTTGCCATCATCTATTTAAGAACAGTGACTCATCCAGGGTTACGTGGCAATTGATTGCAGAATAATTTGTACTGTTTCAAAATATGACCTATTTTGAAAGAGGTGGCTCTCTTTTTTTATCCATCAAGTTTATTGGTACATTTTAGGTATACAATATAATGGCGTTCATCATTGGAGATTTGTACCTTTATGTAATATATCTGGATTCTTATTTTTCCCCGTTCTGCTGCCCTCCCTTCAACCCCTCCACCCCTCCCTATTTACAAAGACTTTGTTTCCATTTTTCATTTTCTCATATTTATCCGTTCTCCGTTCTGCTGCCCTCCCTTCAACCCCTCCACCCCTCCCTATTTACAAAGACTTTGTTTCCATTTTTCATTTTCTCATATTTATTCCTTTCCCTTCTTTCCTTTCCCCTACCCCTCCCACTTCCCTTTCCCCTTCCCCTTTGGACCTTTTCTTCCTCTTGCAGAATAATTTGGCTTCTAGAATTCCTGTAATTTTAATTTCAACAATTTTCATGTTCCAGGAAGGAATTACTTAAAACAAAAGAAACAGTTTGGTGCTAGGGGTGTAGCTCGGTGATGGGGCGCTTGCCTGGCATTATGAGTCCCTGCATTGGATCCTCAGCACTGCAAAACAGTTTGAGAAGAAAGACTGGAAATAGAATGCTGTTTATAAGTGATTGAAAGATCGTTAGAATATTACCTGTTGGGGTTTAAGCACCTTTTCTCCAAAAACAGGATCCCTTTGCTTTCCTCCATTGTTGTCAACTCAGTTAATAATACTTAGGGCTCGCGCTTGATTCCTCTTTCCTTCACATCTCACATCCACTCAGCTCCTGCTGCTACAGCTTCTCCTGCCACTACCACCATTGTTTAGCCATATTTTATAAGAGCTTTGTATGTGCCAGACTTCCTGCTGTTTGCTTTACATGCAAGTCTTAGTCTTTACAATGCCCTGGAATATAAATATATTTGATTCAAAACTGAAGATCAGAAAGTTTATATGTTTCCCAAGGTCACACAGCCAGCCATCTGTCCTCTCAGGATTGGTGACTAGCTCCCTTCAGAGCAAGTAATTCAAGAGACCAACCCCATACGTACAATGCCTTTATTTTGTTT